AACAGCGTCATTGGTATGTGGCACCTGTGGTATCCTGCCTCTGGTCTGCCCCTTGGCCATTCCCTCCCAGCCTCATTCCCCCCAACAACAAACTCCTATTCACCCCGCAGTACCCTGCCCAGGTATAATATCCCCCACAAAGCCTTTCTGCCCTCCCCAGATGGATTGGATTCCACGTAGCTGGGTGCCAGTTTGAACCCTGCTAGTCCTGGCTCTGTGCTGATCACTGCCCCATGGAGAGAGTGGCCATCCTGAGGACTAGATCGGAGAGAACCTGGGCCCGTGGCTCCCCATGACCTGTGGCAGCCATCACTGTCGTCAGGTCTCCCAGCCCCACACTCCACGCGAGCGCCAGAGGCCGGCGGCTGAGGGTCACTTGTTTCTTGGCGCTCAGAAACCGTGTGAAACCCCACGTTTAAGTCTGTCCACAGCGTTTGCTCCATGCCAGGTGGGTGGGCCGTGAGGTCCTACATCCTCCTAGATGGGGCAGTGCCCTGACCCCCAGGGCAGGGTGGGAGGTGTCCTGCCTGGACAGGGACAGGAAGACATAGAGGTCATCGGCCTCTGGGCCTGAGCTGACCTGTTCTGGGAACTGAGGGCACAGGCAGATTCTGGAAGCTTTTCTGTGTGCACAGGGATGCCCGGGGAGACCGCAGGGGAGGCTTCCAGAAGGTGGGATGTGAGATCTGAGTTCATGCAGGCGAGAAGGGCACCAGGAGGAAGAGTGGATGCGGGGGCAAACTTTCCGTGGGGGTTAGGAATAGGGGCACAGCCAAGGGTGCAGCCCGGCCTCTGTGTGGACAGCATGGCCAGGCCTTTGGCCCCAAAACACAAGACGAGCAGAGCCCAGATCTGGCCGTGCTGAGGCCAGGGGCTCTGCAGCATTCTCAGAAGGGGTCTGCAAGCCACCTTCAGCTCCAGGATCTTAACCCTTAACCACATCTTCTTGGATACCCAGTAAGAGGGCAACACAACCAGGTGATGTCCTCGGAGCTCTCTGTCCTGTCGTTCTGCAGCCTGGTGGGATCCAGAGGCCAGTTCAGCAGCCAGGACCCTCCCTGCACCTCCCCAGTAATGAGACCTCTGGCTTGGCTGAGCTGTCTGTGATGACCCGGTGATGGGGTTTGGCTAGCCTGTCACGATGCCAGGCTTTGCGCACATTATGACATGTTATAAACATGCGCACGGATGTGCAAACACGTGTGTGTATACACAGGCGAGCATACACCTGTGCACACGTGTGCCTGTGTACATACACATGGGTGTGCACATGCACACATTCGCACATGTGTGCGTGTACGTCTGTGTGTGCACACACGTGCACACACACGCCTGTATGCACCTGTGTGTGTACACTCGTGCACATAATTGTTAGTTACAGGGGCACAGAGGTCACGTTCGTTTCGTTCTCCCGCACTTAGCCAGCATTCGCTCAGCAATACGGAATTTGGAAGGTCCTGGGAGCGCAGAGGTGTCATCCGTTAGAGGGAGGGAGTATTTGTAAATACTGGAAACATCATTTAGGATTAACATAATCGTGCACCAGTGTTAGGTGCCACGTTCTGAGTGGGCTGGGACTGCTGCGTGTCCAGAGCGACCTGCGGGTCCCCCTGGGGTTACCAATAACCCGCGTGGACGTCTCTTCCCGGAGAAGTGGATGTATCTTCCAGGCCAAGGCTGCACGGGTCTGGCATTAATTTTCACCAGATTTTGTTATTACATGTGTCTCACAGCTTTAAAATAATGGCAAATATGTGCAATTTATTTAAACAACACTAGGGAAATTAACGCCATGCGAGCTCATCCTCAGCAAATGAAGATAAAGCAGCTCAAAACCAAAGCGGCGTTATGAAAACGTGTGCAGTCCTGAGCCTGAAACGCAGGGAGCCCAGCTGAGCGTCTGCCCGTGCTCCAGCATTTCCCGGGGGCAGGGGAAACCTGTCACTGGGAGAGGCATGGGGGAAGCCATGATAGCACCCGTTCCCCGAGGCTGTGCTCATGGCTGGGGCTCCCTGTCTACCCTTGCAAGTCTCCCCAGTCCAGCTGGCTGCCCTCAGGCAGACCCCAACCCAGCCCCTTCTCCTGGGGCAGGTACCTGGGGGCCAGTGAGCTGGTTACCTGTGGGTGGGGAGCCCCCAGACAGGAGAGTGGAACACACCTGTCACCTGGAGGCTCGGTGGCACAGACTACCGGAGTTCTCATGTCTTCTATGGGAATAGTGATTTGTGCCCTGTCCACCACACACCTAATTTGAGGACAGGTAAAGGGGATGTGACCTCACAGGCAAAGAGACCCAGCCATGGTGGCACTCAGCCAGGTGCTCTGGCCTCAAGGTCTGACTCCTGGCATTCAAATCCTGTCTCTGCCTACTGAGCTGTGTGACCTCCGGGAGTTACTCAGCCTCTCTGATCTCCCCCTGCCTCCCTAGTAAAGTGGGATTGAGGGCATTTCCTACTGAATCAGGGAGAGGGGGTCTAGGTGGAGACCGCGTGGTTTGCTCAGTGCCCAAGGCATCAGCAGCTCCCAGAGGCAGGGAAGGCGGTTGTCTATGCCCTGGCTGTGTGGGGACAGTGTGGAGCCAGGACTGTCCTAAATACTGTTCAGTGAAGCTCCTCCAGCAAGCTAGAGACGTGACCCTATCGCTGTGTCATCGCGAGAGCCTGCAGATGAGTCACGGCACCTGTTAGCTTGACTTGAACAGAAGCTGGTATCACGTACATTGCGTAGACATCAAGGCCATGGGGATTTGCCACGGGGATTTGCACACAGCTTGTGTGGCTCCCCTCTGTTATTGGGGGGGGCTATGAAAGGCTTTTGGTTTTCAAACCCTTGACTGCAGGAGCTCGAGGCCCTGAGCCAGCTGGGACCCTGGTGGGGAAAGTCCCAGTGGGGAGCTCCATCCAGTGCGGCTTGTCCAGCTGGGTTTTCCCATTGATTCGGCATTTGGAGCGGATACGAGATTTCATTTTCTCATCGGTTAGGCCGTTTTGTCGGTGTGTATTTAACTTACTCCTACGCAGCTCTTCTGCAAAAAGGAGTGGGCAAGGTTCTCTGTCCACAAAGGAGAATGGTAAGACCGCCCAAGGCCATCTTGCTGGATGGACCTGGAGCTCAGGCAGAGTGGGACCTGCCATGGTTGGAGTCAGGTACACCATAGCCAAGTGCCATGGGCTGTCCCCGTTCAGGTCTCTCTTCGCCATGTGAGTTCTGATGTGCAGCGTGGGGGGGCTGCGCGGGCGCTGTGCCTCCCTGTGGCGGCCTTGCGGGTGCCGTGCGTGTCCGTGGGGGGTCCGCTGGCTCCTCTAATTGTAGAAAGTCGTATACATTGTAACATTCAGAGGTATACAAAGGTGAAAGGAATAAAGTAAAATAAAATAGCGTAAAGCTCACTGGTCGTCAGAGAAAACCACAGTTGACATATTGATGTATTTCCTTCCAATCTTTTCTCTGTCCTTTAAAAAAAAAAGAAAGAAAGAAATTGGGGACTTGGTTACATGTATGCTTCAGTGTCATTCTCCACTTACCGTTATCTTATGGGTATTTCTCCACGTCCTCGTCTTCAAAGAGTAGCTTCCAGTAACGGTGTAAATTTCCCAAGATATGAACACAGTGTAATGCATTTGACTAGTATTTCCTGCTGTCAGATCTCCAGCAGTTTTTTCCTGATATTTTTATTATTTTATATATACATAATATTATTACAAAAATATCGGCAATGAACATTTTTATAGAGAGATTTTCATTTACAGAGAGTTTCTTTGGGACAGTTGTGGAGTTACTGGGTCAAAAACCAGGACCTTCCAGTTTTTTTTCATTGATGTACGGTTGACGTCGAGGACAATTTTCAGGCTCTGGGTGGTCGCCGGTGCACAGCTGGCGGAGGGCTGTGGTCAGCACCCAGCAGTGGTGAGCCCCATCAGCCTCCAGTCCCAGCGGCTGCCCCGCAGGCAGGGGCTCTCATCAGTGTAATTGCCATAGCAACCCTGTGAATCTAGTGCTCTTATTACCAGCCCCGTTTTATAAAAGAAGCAGCGGGAGTTCAGAGAGATGAAGCTCTGTGCCCGGAGTCAGTGAACCTTCAGACGCACGTAAACACTTGCTGAACGCCAGGTGCCACCCCCTCCACCATCCCTCCTCCTGACAACATGACGCACTCCACAGGCCTGAGGATCCGTTCCGTTAGTCCTGTCAGTTTGATAGGTGATAAGGATTTATTACTTCAATTTGCATTATTTGATTACAAGAAGATGTGTACGTTTTTAATAAGTTTACTGATTTTTATTTTGCTGTTAATTTCTTTTCAGGCCCTTTCCCTGTTGTCAAAAACATTTAATTTTTTTATTGATTTGCAAGAACTCTTTACATAGTGGGACTGTCAACTCTTTGACAGAGTTTAAAGATCTGCAAATCACGTTTGCTGCAAATCACATTTGCCAAATTCATCAACTGCTTTTAGGGTATGTTTTCATAAACCAGCATTTTAAACCAAATGCTTTTTCCTTTGTGAGTTTTTTCCCCTGTTCTTCCAGGATTTAAAAGCTCTGGTTTGGTTTTTTTTAAGATTTTATTTATTTGTTTGACAGAGATCACAAGTAGGCAGAGAGGGAGCAGAGAGAGAGGGAGAAGCAGGCTCCCTGCTGAGCAGAGAGCCCGATGTGGGGGCTCCATCCCAGGACCTGGAGATCATGACCTGAGCCGAAGGCAGAGGCTTAACCCACTGAACCACCCAGGTGCCCCTAAAAGCTCTGGTTTACCCTACGACGTATTCTTCTGCTTTTATGGTTTCTTTCCCCCACCACGTAACTCTGCAGTCCGTTTTGTGACACAGGTGTGTAGCTTGATTTTTTCCCCTAACACGTAGTCGCTTCCCCGAGCATCATCCAGTCTTTCTCTGCTGATGGAGAACAGAACAGATTCTCTGAACAGATGCCTTTTCCTCTGCGTGAAACTTACCCAGACTTCTTTGGCTCCTCTTTCCCCTCTCCCGGCTACGGCTGCAGAAAGGAAAGCAGAGTGCGGCTCCAGAGAGTGCGGCTCCAGACACCTCTCAGCCCCCGAACAACATGCTGCTGCCGTGGCCCCAGCACCAGCACGCCAACGGGCTGCGGAGGCAGAAACGCGACTGGGTCATCCCACCCATCAACGTGCCAGAAAATTCCCGCGGGCCCTTCCCACAGCAGCTTGTTCGGGTAAGTGGAGACCCCTCCCGAGGGTCTCGGCTCAGTGCGCCCTCTCCTCCGGGATCTGGCAAGTCAGTCTGTGGGCTTGTGGGGGAAGGGCCGGGCTTGCCGGTCGGGAGCAAGCAAGGGACGGTCTGCATTTGGTGGCGTCTGAACCTGTTCAGTAACAAGATGACACAAGCCAGAGAAAGACTGGAAGGGCAGTCATACCCTCCAGGGAAGCTGGTCCTGCTGGACGTGGGTCATCTCGCCTGTGCTGATGGGAGGGGGCAGGGTGGCCACTTGGGTCCTGGCCTTTGACCTCTGACACCTTTCCTTGCTCACTGTTTTCCAACTGTGACTGAGACTCTGGAGGGCGGAAAGACAGTGTGTCTGTGAGGGTGACTGGGATATTGGCAAGAAGCTGGAGGTCTTGGGACTGAGGCTGTGACCCCAGATCCGGCATTCTGGCAGCCTGCGGGGGCTCCTTCAGTGCACCTGCTCCCAGCCCCCACCAAAGGGGCTTTTCCAGGGAGAAGGGAAGGATTCGGTTTACAGATTTGTATTTCAGTAATCCGGGCCATCAAGTAGCATTCCCTTCTTCCCTTTGAAGAAAACTGCAACCCGGTCTGGGCAATAATCTGATAAAATGATGGTGAGGACCCGTTAAGGAGTCGCCCATGCACTGTGGACCGCCTCGCCTGCCTCGTGGAAATGAGGGTCAGGGGGCTTCCTCAAGGGCTTGCTTTCCTTCCTCTGACCGATTAGCCTGTTTTGTTTCCCACTCCACTCCACACAGAAAGCTGGGGTGTGAGTTTAAAATGCAGAGATGGGGAGGGGGCGCCTGGGGGGGCTCAGTGGGTTAGACCTCTGTCTTCCGTGTCTGCTCTTGATCCCAGGGCCCTGGGGTCAAGTCCCGCGCGCCGGTCTCCCTGCTCAGCGGGGAGCCTGCTTCTCCCTCTCCCTCTGCCTCCTGCTCCCCCGTGGATTCTCTCTCTCTCTCTCTCAAATAAATAAATAAAACCTTTAAAAAATAATAGTAATAATAAAATGGAATAAAACGCAGAGACAGAGCAAAACGAAACAGGGGGACCCGCGTCAGACGCCCCACCACACACACCACACCCATGGTGACCTGCCCCAGACCTGCGCGGTGCGTGGGATGTGGGGATTGGCACCGGGTAGCCTGTGTTCCTCTTCCTCCCCAGACCCAAGCCCCTGAAACCATCGGGATTTCCGGAAGAGTTGAGAGTCCTGGAGCCGTCTTTTGTTATTTTAATGGCATGACTTTTGGCAAGTCCCCCGAGGAAGGGGGCTGGGGGCCGGTGGGCTGGGTGCCGGTTGCCTGGGGAATGAGCCCAGGGATTAGAGGCACCCACGTTCACCCCCATCCTCACCCCCAAATGCTCGGTCGAGGGAGGGGATGGAGGTTGAGTCAGTCACCAGTGGCCGATGGCCAATGATTTAATCAGTCCTGTCTGAGTGAGGGAGTGTCCTTAAAACCCCAAGGGCCGAGATGTGGGAGCTTTAGGTGGGCCGGCCTGGGGAGGCACAGGGAGGCCGCTGCCCCACCGGGAGGGGGCTTGGAAGCTCTGCGTCCCTTCGCCCTCCTTGTCCTGTGCGTCTTTCCCATCTGGCTGTTCGGGGGCTCTACTCTTTACAAAAAACTGATTATCTATGGAGCAAATGTGGGCTGCTCTAGCAGACAACTAAGCTCTGCAAGAGAGGTCGTGGGACCCTCCCATTTACAGCCCATTGGCCAGGAGCACGGGGACACCCTGGACTTTTCATGGGCATCTGAGTGGGAGCTGCCTTGAGGGACAGAGTGCTTCCCGAGGGGTGCACGCACGCTCCAGCAGCTGGTATCCGAATACAGTTCAAGGCAGGCACCGGCAGGTGTCACAGAATTGTTTGCTGGGGAAACCCCCATCTCAGGTGGCTGAAGCCTCTGAGAGTCTGATCTCTGACCTTGGACCACAGTCCCCCCCCACCCCAGATGGGGAGCTGCCCAGAGCACCGCCCCACCCTGGCAGCCCTGGCCGGAGGTCCCCTGTGTTGAGATGAGGCAGACTTGAGCAAAGCACTCAAGGCGTGAACCCCAACCTAAGTAGATTCCCAGTGTCCGGGGTCCGTCCGCCAACCCAAGCCACCGACAGGATGGGGGCTCCATGGCCCCCTGTGCACTCACCACCCTCAGGGCCTTGGTCACATCTGACCAGCACTTGTCATTTACCTAATGCTTCCCATTAGTGAGTCACTCTTAAAATAAATACGTTTATTTTAAGAGGTGACCTTACATCAGCTTACAGTTGGAAAGCTGGTGTTGGTGATGGACCGTCAGACAGCATAAGGCAAGGAAAACAGAGTTGACGTCTGGCTGTGTACTGTCCCGTCGGAGCCTGAGGACTGCCGGGGAAGTGTTTACAAGAGGAGCCGTGAGCAAGTACCAGAGTGTTCTCAAGATGTGCGGGGACCAGAGGCTTCCTCCTGAATGTCATCAGGATCAAAAGCAAATTGGAAAGGGAGCAAGTGTTTCATTGTGTGAGTCAGTCTTTCTCAAAGGCTTGTGCTCGTGCTAGTCAGAAATCAGCTCAGGAGAAAACTGTTGCTATAGCTCGGCGGCTGGGGGTCTGCAAGACTCCGGAAAGGGCCAGACCCTCCCTCGATATTTTAGGCTCTGCTGAGAGCCAGCCTCAGTTGCAAATACTCAGCTCTTTGTAGTGCGAAGCTGCCCTAGACAATGCATTGACAAGGACAGGCAGCGGGCCAGGTGTGGCCCGAGAGACCTAGTTTGACAAGTGCAGATCCAGCTCATTTCCCAACCTGTGGGAAGGTGTGCCCCTGCCAGCCTCACCGGCAGGAACATTACAGTGAGGGTGTGAGCTTGAACGCCGAGGGCTCTCTTCGGCTCACAGCCCGCAGGTACACACGGGACCTTGGGCCGGCATCCCAGCACTCCTGGAGTATTCTGCTGCTGGATTTCCGGATTTCTCGGGTCAGTGATCCTAGTAGAGACGCACGAAACTCCCCTCCCCTGCGCGCATCTGCACACGGGCCTGTAAGAGGTACCAGGAGGGAAAGCGGGTGCAGGCAGAGCCACTGGCCCTCGCGGACTCCAAGTCTGCCTCCTGCTGGATGATGGAGAAAAGGACACTTCTGTACTTTCCGCCCCAGGAGCTGCAGTGGTCTCGCGCTGACTGGTCGGAGCTGGCGGCAAGGCCAACACGAGTGCGAAGTCCCCCCGGCCAGCCAGGCCCTTGGCTCCCACACGGCCCCACGGACGTGTTGATGAACATGTCACACAGACACCTGCGTGCTCTGCTGGGGGCCGTCCTGCATTTCCTTCCGAACAGCTACAGCACAGGGTAACTTGCCCCCTCCCCGGTTAGCACCAACCTCGCCGAACCTGGCTCGGGAGAGCAGCAGCTGGCGGCGCTCCGGAGCCCCTGCAGACACGGGGTCCCGAAGACGCACCCCCACACCCGCCGCTGGCCTGACTGACCGGGAACTCGGGGATGGGCACGCGCCGCAGGTGTCAGGAGAGAAAAGCCGGGAAGCAGCAGCTCAGCCCTGCCGAGGGCAGCCTCTCCTCCTTCCTGGTCTGCCCCGTGGCTGTGTTGGGAGCACGTGTGTCCTCCGCTCCTCAGACCCCCTGCCGTGTCCAGCAGCCCCCGTGGGGACGGCGCCTCCACGCCGGGCTCGCCGGCGCCCAGACGGGCTGTGAGCAGAGGGGCAGCGTGTGGGTTAGTGTTAGCTGACTGCCGGAAAGGGCGTTCCCGAAATGTCAGAACTGAATGCAGTGGAGGTTATTTCTTGCTCCTGTGAAGGTCATTTGTGGGAGGGATGGCTCCCTACACGGCCAGGCGGGGCCCCGGAATGAGGACTGCAGGAGGGACGGGGCTCGGACATGGCCATGCCTGACGGCCAGGGACACCAAGAAACGCAGTTCAGCTGTGCCTGGAGGGAAGGGCATGTGTGAGAAGAGGGGCTGGTCTGTGTCCCAGCAGGTTTGAGAAAAAGGCACATCCTTCCCCCCGCGCCCCCAACGGCCCAGCTGTACCAAGGACCCCGCGGCGGGCGAGCCGGCAGACCTGATCGTGCCCCCTCCTCCAAGCCTGGTCTGACTCCCGAGCTGGATTCTTGGGGGAGATTGATCTTCAGATTGGGCTTTTCCAAATGGTCTCCAAGTGATTGTGCAAGAACTCAGCACAGAAATACAGAGGCACACATGTGTGCACACGCACGCACGCCCCGTCCCACTTCATATGCACGCACGCACCCTTGTTCTCCTGTGCTCACTCCCGCCTCCTTGCCCCTCCACCCATTAAATTCTTACCCAACACAGACGCGTGTTTCGGGGTGCGTTTCTCTGCCTGCGGGAAGCAGATGAGTTTCAGGCCAGTGTTTTGGGGGAGGGGCTGCTCCTGAAAGGAGCCTGAATCCCAGCGAGCGTGGATGCAGCTTGATGGGGTGGGACGCTGCGCATGGAGCCCTTGGAGGCTCAGCTGGGATCAGCTGCAGTTCTGTGCTCATTAAAGCGTTTCATTCTGATAAAATACGTTAAATGAAAAAACGGGCGGGAGAGAAGGAGGCAGAATGTTCTTCCCAAAAAACCTCTGTTAATTACAGGCTTTTTCCTTGGAAGGAATATCACGTCCCTCCATAAGCACTAGTTAGTTCTGCGGTGCGGGGAGAGCGGGAAGCCTGCTTGTGTGGGGGAGAACCCTGAGCAGGGAAGGCGGGTGGCGCTGACGGGGCTGCGGGAGCGGAGAGCGTCCTCCGCGTGTGCCCACTGGAATTAGACCAGGGTCTAAATTAAGTGGGGAGCCGGGAGATGGAGCCACTCACAGAGGCTGTCCCTTCTTCAGAACAGAGGGGGACACATTCACAGGCTGGCTGATCCCCTGGGAAGCAGGAAGGAGGTCCTTTGTTATGGGAAGTGGCAGGAGGGGACCTTCCCTGCTCTGAACATTCAGCTCTGAGTTCTGGAAGGAGTCCCGTGGGGCCATGGGAGGGTGCCAAGTACCACG